CCCCCCCCCCCCCCATCAAGCTCTTCCTTCTTCTCTTTGCTGAAGTATCTCTCTATGTCCTCTCTGTTATGTTTGTCTCTGTTTTTGTTTTACAAGTGCCAATCTTATGTCACTTTGTCCATGTATATCCATCTCTGAGTCTGTTTCTCTCATTTTTGTCAGTCTCTTTCTGTCACTCTACCTAGACCTCTTCCTCTTAACCATTACTCAAGGTTATCTCTAAGTTACATTTTCCCTCACTTCTTGCCTGTTCTTTCCTTTCAACTCAGCACTGAAGACTTCAGTATGCTATAGAATTACTAGTTATCATAGCCCTTCAGTTCTTGTTGAATTGTGTGCGATTAACACAAAATAAAGGGTTAAATTAGCTTGAGGTCCTTTAACTCTTACTGTACAGCACGCCAGTTCAGATGGTTCTCAGCATCACTCGACTTTTAACAGTCTTAACTAAAAACTCTACCAAATCTCTGAAACTTTTTCTTATCTATAATAAAGTTATATTTTTACCTCTCGGATCATTCATTTCCTCACAGTGGATTTTTTTTTTGTTACTGTTTTACGGCGCTCACAACTGCATAAGGTCATATGAGTGCACGGGACACATTAACCTAATTCGCCTTACGTTGCCGCGGCTGTGCACTTGTGTCCACCTGACTTACTGCGAGCCTTGGGGAAAAAATCGGTCTGAACTCGACACGCTAACCTAAGACACGCTTTGTGCCCAAACTATTAAAGGTATCAGTATGAAATTTTACTTAGATGTTCTTTTAATATTATTAGAGAAAAAGATAAAGGAAAGAGCATAGAAAACAATATATTCTTTGTCCGATTGCAACTCATGAGCACTCAATTTACCCATAGCAACTTATAGTAAATCTATGGTTCAGATCTAGCTTTTCTTCGAAGTTTTCAAGGCACTAAAATCAATCTGATCGCCTTGTTTTTCTAGATTTATGTCTACTTTCACTTTCTTCGCCGCTTATGTCTCAGACAAAGCTAAAAACATGGTTCATGTATTTTAACAAACTCAAAAATAGCCGTGGCACTGTATTGTTTTTTGTGGCTGTTTTTTTCTTCTTCTCGTCTATGAAGATTTCAGTGCTCGCTTTCTTGCCATGATTTGCGGTGACAAAACAACAAAACTAACTCGTACTTAGTGAAAAACTAGATCGAAACAAGCTAGCAAAAATTATTACAAGCTACAAACGACCTATTATTTTCAATAGAAACCTGGATAAGTGGTTTGGACTCAATTTTGTAGACTGGTATTTTGCTAAATAGTTGTAGCTCAGTGGACGGAAGCCCGCGGCAGCTAGGAATATTCTCGTAGCTCGGGTGCAGTGGGTTAAACATTTTCATTTGTTAGGAAATTTTGTATTTTGCCCGGGTGGTGGCCGAATCCTACTTGTATCGATTTTGGACCATCAAGGGATCTTTAACATGCTCAGCTTGCACGTGGCCTCGCAGTGTGCAGTATATTTCATGCAAACAAGTTAAATAGGAGTAAAGTTACAGGGAATTTTGTGATGCTGAAAACTTGGATGGTAAACTAGCTGCGCACAAAGGAGGAATAACCTTCTGTATTCTAGGAATTAATGTGATCTTTCTCTCTTTTTCCCTCTCTTCAGTACAAGCTCAAATGTTACAACAGCGTCACCAAAATGTGCAGGAAGACAGTGCTAGGCCCAACCTATGGGTCACCCATGAGGAAGTGAGTAATGTTTTGATATACTGATTAATTGTGCTAAAATTTTATGATTTTCTTTCTCACAATTAATGGTCTGAGCAATTTTTTTGGTTATCATACTTGATTATAATTTGTAACTGCTTTGTTTTTCCTTTTTTCTCTCTCCATTTGTTGTTACAGTGGAGTCCACTTATAACGAGTCCGGAAAAAATGAGAAGTCTGTTATAAAGACACTATTCTAAAACCCTGTTTTTTTCTCTTCTTTACCTTTGTAAATAAAGTACTGCTATAGCGCAATCAGACAAACACGCTAGTCGGTTATAGCGGAATATTGCTGCTGCTGTGCACAGTGCATAGGCCTATTATACATACTGTAAAACCTCGCCAGTTGAGAAACTTGGTGATCTAGCGGGAACAAAGAATGGGGGAGCCCACGTGTGTCAACAATAAAGGCCAAAGCAACTGGATAGGGAGGGTGTGGCATGCGCAGACAAAGCAGAACGCATCGTGTGATAGGCCAGCGTAAGCCTAGTTTAGATTATCAAGGCCTGCCATGCCTCTCACTTCTCCGAGGCGGGGATGGAGAGGTCACAGCAATGTGATGGATGGAGTGAATGTGTGACGTGCGGAAGCTGACGGAATGCGTCCCAGGGTGTGGTGGGGTGGGAAAAAACACAGCGGGTGAGTTAGCCCAGAGCCCTTTCTTTCTGATCGCCAACGCTGAGCTCTCAGTCAACATCGCTAGATCTAGCGCTAGAGAAAGAAACCTGATTCTATTTTTGATCAAGTAAGACCTAGTGGTCATGTTGAAACAAAATTATCATCAGTGGAGATAGCAAAAGGAAATAAACAGAACACCAAACTCATAGATTAGGCCTACTGTACAGTTTCCCTTGAATTTATTACTGGATCCCTTATAGCGAAAATCCTGCTATAGCAGACATTTTGCTCCGGTCCCCTCCCTCTCGTTATAACAGGATTCCTCTGTATAAACTACTTTTCAGCATCTTCTCTCTTTTTGGTTGGTCTATTTTCGTCGCTCAACCTAAACATCTTGCTCCTAACCATTTCTCTCCATTTGTTGTTTTTAACTACTTTCCAGCATCTCTATTTTATCTGAAAATTTCTGTTGCAGAATGATGGTCGTGCCTACGACAGGCCCTGAGCACACAGATCGTTATCTTGCGTACATCACCGATGACAAAGTCGGCCTACATTTCCTTCCAGCGACCGGCAATCCACATTTAGCAATGGCCTTGATAGCTCATCCTAGTGGAGTGAGTTCTGTTTTTTGGTTGTTGGTTTGGTTGTTGTTTTTTTTTTGATTGAACGAATAAAAGCCTGATTCTTGTTTGGGGAAATTCGAAATATATCTGAATTCCTCTTTCAAAGAATAAGACAATAGGGAAATTGTTTTCATCTCAAGTGCCTGCCCTGGTTTTGTTTCTTTTTAAAAAATATCATTTGCATTTGTTTAAGACGTCCATTTTAAAATACTTTATTTATATGCTTGGGGATTTGCTGACTGAAAGACTGATTGTTGAGCAAGTTTATTGAGCTTTTCTGTACTTGGCAGTTTTGTATTATTATAAGCTTCAATTTTAACATTAGTTTTCTTGGAAAACTATTCTTTCTGCATAAAAAAGTATATTCATGGGTCTTGCAAAAAAAGCTAGCAATATGTCCGTGGTATTAGTCTTCAAAGGTGTGTTATCAGTTTTGTAGAAAAATTTGAAGGTTTACACTTTGTTTTCAATAATTCTTATAACCAGAACTTCCTACAAAGCATGATGAGGGGTTTTTTTTTGGTTTTTTATTGTTTGTTTTTTGTTTGTTTTTTGTTTGTTTTTGTTTGTTTATTGGGGGGGCGGGGGATTTTGCATAGAATGTAATTTTCTTTAGCTCTGAAGTTTTTTAAAACTTTTTATTTCCTTTTTGGGGGTCGATGGGAATATCAGATCTATAGAGGCTGAAATATGAAAGAAAAAAAAAACTCTTGTTTCAGGTGTCAAATCTGGCATGCAGCTTTGATGGAGCGTATCTGTTCACAGCTGGAGGACCCGATTATGCTGTGCACATGTGGGAGATCAACATCTCGTAAGCTTTTATAGTTTTTGCCTACAGACTTTCTCATCAACGTTTATTCTTTTTGCCAGAGACTTTTGAACCAAGGTTGTTTAGTGAATTTTTGTCTCGATACTAACCTGTGAATGTTGAAGATTTTTTTTCACTTGTTGATGAAACTTTGCCATGATTTATCTTTTTTTTTTGTGGCAGATATCATTGGTAAATGCAAGTATAATTCTCATGGTATGTCTAAAGTAAAAGTTGTAAATATAAAATGACCTAATTTCAAAGGGAATTCAATTTGTAGTTTTCAGGTTTACCAATAGAACATCCTGAATTCATTTGAAATTTTATCCAACATGGCTAGGGCATAGAAATAAAACTATCACGATCACCATCATCATCATCATCACCACCGTCATCATAATCATCATCATCACCATCATCATCATCTTCAAAAGTCCTGCTGGCTGAACCGGACATTCCATCTCATTCCGCCATTGGTCCAAAATGCAATAGCTTCCCAAGTTTCCCTCATGCCTGTCCATTTTTTTTAGATTACCCAACACATTCTCTCTCTCGTTCTCTCACTTTTCCTCTGTTTTCGTTTATAGTTTTACAATGGTCACAAGGTCATTTGATAATATAGCTCATATCCCTGCTTGAAAGCCAGCTCTATGTGCTTTACACTATATTATTACCCCCAAGTAGACCCTAGAACACTCAGAAAACATTCTTGGCTTCCTGGGAGACATACAAAAATTTCCCGTGGCTTTTTTTATTGCTGGTAAAGGTAACTTGAAATTACTTGCAGTATGTTGCTGACATTTTAGGGTTATTTAACTTTCTCTTGTCTTCTCAAAAGAAATTGAAAAACATCCACTTGCCCACTTTCCTCTTTCTTTATTTTCATGGTCTTGACTTGTTATTCTCACTCATCTCTCTGACAGTGCTCTGGAAGCCCAGGCCAAACTGGGAGGAGAAGACCTGATCCCATTTTATGGGCTGCTGGAGGGTGGTCGCGATGGGGAGATGTTTGCAGAGCTGGAGGATCTCTTCTACTACGCCCAGCTGAGACAGTGAGTCAAGACTGATTTTTACAGGGGTTTTTTTTTTTTACTGTGGAAAGAGGTCTGTTATTTTAGTAAGAGTTTTATGACACTTGCAACCCAATTAGGTCATACAAGTCCGAAGATTAGAGATGGTTCAAGACCATAACAAACGCAAAGAACAGGAAGGAGAGATAAGGGTGATAGATGTTTGATAGGAAAGAATGAGGAAATCACGCCAGAGCAACAGCCAACCATCCACAGGTATGAGGTTTACAGATGAGATAACATGCGGTAACTTTAGGAGACAGGAGGTGAGAAGAAGATAAGATGAGATAATCATGATAATTATTAGAGAGCTTCTCTGTACAATGGCCACTCTACATCCTTTCACTCATCCGTGTGAACACACACACACACATACTCACACACACAAACTCACACTTGCACAAATATTCTTTCCTGCAGGCATACATTTTCCATTCTGGTCTTAAAACAATTGAACAGCTTTAACAATTTTACAGAGATGTCACGGCAGGGTTGAATCAATAACTCATTAATTTTTTGTCATAATGAGTTATTGGTATCGTCTTATCTTAAAGCTTGTTCATTTGTTCACCCATCTATCTTGAGTAGAAAATATACATGCCTGAACAAAAATATGACTTTGAACTTTTCTTCCAGCCAAGGAATTAACTCCATGGAGACGAGAGAGATTGGCAACCGCGTTCCAATCAGCGAAGTGCCCTTCATCATGAGGGCAATGGGATACTATCCATCAGAGCAGGAGGTAAGTAAGGAGACCGGGCCAGTTTTTTTCTCATGATCAGCCACTGTCTGTTTGTTGCTTGTACACAAATAAGTTTTAAAAGATATTAGCCTATAATTAATGATACATGAGTTAATGTAATATGTAAAGAGATTCATGTTATTGAAAAACTTTGGCATAGTTCTTGCTTTAAAAAGTTTACTTTTTCTGTTTGATTAGCTTAGAATCTTCACCGTCCTAATTGTGAACTTGTTATTTAAAAACTTGTAAACTGAGTTAGTTTAAAGGTTTGTCTTCTCTCAGGTCATATGAATGTCCGTGGTGTATATTATCCAACATAGAAAGACCAAGATATTTAATGATAATAATAATAAAGATAATTTCTATAGGCGCAATGCAGGTACGAACAATATTCACGCATACACACATGTGCGTGCGCGCACACACACACACAC